TATCTCTCTCTGTCTCTCTTTCTGTCTATCTATCTATCTATCTATCTATCTATCTATCTATCTATCTATCTATCTCTGTCTCTCTTTCTGTCTCTCTTTCTGTCTATCTATCTGTCTGTCTGTCTGTCTGTCTGTCTATATCTCTCTGTGTCTCTCTTTCTGTCTCTATATCTATCTGTCAATCTATCTGTCTGTCTGTCTGTCTGTCTATCTCTCTCTCTGTCTCTCTTCCTGTCTATCTATCTGTCTGTCTGTCTGTCTATCTCTCTCTCTCTCTGTCTCTCTTCCTGTCTGTCTGTCTGTCTGTCTGTCTATCTATCTATCTATCTATCTATCTATCTATCTATCTATCTATCTATCTATCTATCTATCTACCTTCAAATCTTACTAAACATCTCATGGAACGGAACCAGGCAGAAAAAAACCTGGTTGCTCCCCCTTGTACCTCCAATCAGTATCTGTTATTGTTTGTTTTCACCCACGACCTGCCTGCCTCCCCATGGGCAGCCAGGAAGTTCCTTTGATCGCGCAAGATGAAAGAGGTTGTCCGGAATGGAGAGAACACCACAAACCTCACCGCAACCGCCTCTCCTCGGCTACCTGAGACGAAGGAAGGCCAGCGAGGCAGCAAGGAAGGAACTGGGATGTTTTTCCTTCCTCCCTTACCTGTGCAGGTGTCTCCTGGATGAGCGACGTGGCGTCCTCCTACCTCTCCGGTTCCCCCAAGGCCAGAGGCGAAGAATGCGTCTTCAAACGAAGGAGAAAGAAGACAAGCCAAGTCGTGAGATCAGCCAGGACGTGTCGAAATTCCCGCTGACGATCCTGGCTTATGAAATAGGGGAGTTCTCCCTTCCCGACCTGGACCGAGAGACCCTTTGGAGTAACACCCCTCTCTGTCACCAGGGTGGAAATTCAGACATGACTTATGGACGTCGTGGTGCAAGGTCGAGAGGAGGTTTGGAGGCGTTGACGGAGCTGAATTGCAACTTTTGCACGCCCACGGCGGCCCCGAAACACACACACGATAAACGTATTAATATTAGTATTATTTTAAATGCAGGGTGTGGTGTTAAAATTGCGGATCCCGTAAAATATTCAGATTTCATACGTTTGTTTAAATTTAATAGAGAAATGGTTTTCTCTCCTCATTCTCAAGCTCCTTTCCTTCCTCTCTCCTCTCCTTCCTTCCTTCTTTTCTCCCTCCCTCCCATCCTTTCCTCCTTCCCTCTCTTCATCCCTTCCTTCATCCCTCCTTCCTTCTTTCCTCCCCCTCTCTCTCCCTCC